GGCTGTGGTGGCCGTGAGTGTGCCACTGCACTCCAGCCTGGGTGACAGAATAAGACTCCAGATAAAAAAAAATAATAATAATCCTCAAGAAACCTGTTCACAAGGCAAATCTAAGCGAACCCTCAGAGATTTTGATCCAGTGGGCATAGGGTGAGAACAAGATGGGAATTTTTTTTGAGTGGGAGTCTCACTCCGTCACCCAAGCTGGAGTGCAGTGGCATGCTCACCACCACCCCAGCACCGACCTGGTGGGCTCCAGTGATCTTTCCACCTCAGCCTTCCAAGTAGCTGGAACTTCAGGCGCATGCTACCATGTCCGGCTAATTTTTTTTTTTAATTGTAGGCACGAGATCTCACCATGTTGCCCAGGCTGGTCTTGAACCTGCCAGCTCAGGCAATCCCTTCACCTCGGCCTCCCAAAGTGCTGTGATTACAGGCTTGAGCTGCTGCACCTGGCGGGATAGGAGTTTTGTAAAGACACCCCAGGTAGCCTGGGGTTGGTGGCTCAGCCTATCATCCCAGCACTTTGGGAAGCCGAGGCGAGTAAATTGCCTGAGCCCGCGGGTTTGAGACCCACCTGGGCAATTTGGTGAGACCTCATCTCTACAATAAATAAAAAAAAAATTAGCGGGGCATGGTAGCACATGCCTGTAGTTCCAGCTACTTGGAAGGCTGAGGTGGAAGGATCGGTGGAGCCCAGCAAGTTGAGGCTGCGGTGGCTAGGAGCGTGCCACTGCACTCCAGGCTGGGCGACAGAGTGAGACTCCAAAAAAAAGATGCCCGGCTACATCTGGTACAGGTAACCCCCATCCACACTTGGTGGTACACTGCCAAAAGCAGCATTCCTTACACTTTGTAAACCTTATGCCACAGTAACAAATACATTGGACGTCGCAGTTCAGCACGCAGGTGCACATATTCCTCAACATGACTGAAGCGTGTTTCAGAGTCTCACCTGTCTGTGTCCCTTCTCACTTGGAGTGCAGCTGAGTACTTAGTATTTAGCCTGGCGTTTAGTATTCCTTTTTGGTTCATTACAAACGCAATCAATTTCATGACCCACCTATGGATCATGTCTTATGGTTTAGGAAAAGGCTTCTTTCTCTCCTGGAAGAAAAATGTGCTGCGACTTGGTGAAGCTTGGGCCCCAGGCAGTGGGTCTGCTCTGGCGCCACCAGGCTTCCCATTCCAAGCCTTGAACTTGACTCCCTCCGGAAGCAGCCAGGCCCCTCAGCACAGTCCACCTCCCCCACCACGGGAGACTGTTTGCCCCAGCAGCTCACAGGCGCCCCCTGGCTGTGGTCATGGCTTGTTGGCACAAGGAGAAAGGGCAGAGCAAACCAAAGCTGGAATTCGTTCGGTAGGTTGGGCAGAGAGTGAATTTTCTAGAATCAGCTTCTCCTGGGCCTGAAAGATAAAGCCATCTTTATTTTTAAAGCCAAAGATTAAGCCCCCATTTGCCTGTATAGTCACCAAGCCTGTGGCACTCCACAGGGCAGTGGTCCTCCAGGCTCTGCTCACATCCCTCCAGTCTTGGGGAACTTACAATCTGTGGCAGTTCATTCCCTCTTCTGCAGTTCTGCTGGTTGGAGAAACTGAGCAGGCCTCTCCCAAGAAGGGCTATTCGCTCAGTGACTGCAGCCTGGGGAGCTGCTGGGGCAGACAGCCTACCCCGGGGGCAAGCACTGGGGCCCTGCTGCTTTGGGCCATGAATCAGGCTCAGGACTTGGAGTGGGGAACCTGGCAGGGCCGGAGCAGGGGCCCCCAAAAGGAACTCAGACTCTTACCATAGCGGCGCTGACCATGAACGCACAACTGTACTGAGCCCTTTCCGACGTGTCGTACCCAGTTCTCATGCCGGCCTCTGAGGCAGAGACTCTTCTTGCATCTCGCAGAGGACAGTGGGGCTTGGAGACATTATTGTCTTGCTGCCTCAGAGCCCCGCCAAGGGTGGCAGGATGGGAGGGAGCCCCCGTCAAGCTTGGACTTCCTCTTCCTCTCCATAGTTTCCCAAGCTCGGGTGTTCAGAGACTTCACCCAGGGAACAAGTTTAAAATGCAATTAACGGCCATATAATCCCAGCACTTTGGAAGGCCAAGGAGGGAGGATCACTAGAGTCGGGGCTGCAGTGAGCCATGATCACCACTGCACTCCAGCCTGGGCAACAGAATGAAACCCCATCTCTTTAAAAAAAAAATAGAAGAAGCAGCAATAGGCTTGTGCATTCAGCCACCTCCCTGCAGGAGCGCAGTTCCTGCCTTCTCTCATGGGCATCTCTTGGCTTCCTCAGACCGCATTGCTCGGAACCGCAAGACCATTGTGTGTCCCATGATCGACGTGATTGACCACGACGACTTCCGGTACGAGACGCAGGCGGGGGACGCCATGCGGGGTGCCTTTGACTGGGAGATGTACTACAAGCGGATTCCCATCCCTCCAGAGCTGCAGAAAGCTGACCCCAGCGACCCATTTGAGTAAGTACAAATGACCCAGGCTGGTCTTGGTGGTGACTCGGTGACCCCTCCCAATATACACACAAGTCAGGTCCCCCCTGTCCCACAGAAACCCAGAGCAGACGATCCAGCTTCCCGGCCCCACTTAGTACCCTATGTCAGATGTCCCAAGTCAAAGGCCCCAGCCCTCCCAGTGGGTCACGGGCCTCCACTCGGGCCACCAGGCTGGTCACCTGACCTTGCAACCTCTGTGAAGTTTGCCAGGATGGCCAGCAAGCGTGAGTAAGTCTCTCACACTCCCGTCCTCCAGCCTGGCACCCAGGTGTCATCATCAGCTGGGGCCAGGGCCAGGCCCAGGCTGGGCACATCACATCCTGATCCAGTTGAACCCTTGACAGCCATGGGTGGTAAAAACTGTCAACCATATTGACCAAATGGAAATACCAAGGCTCCAAGAGGCTGAGTAACTTGCCTGGGTCACACCACTATTGAGTGGCAGTTTCCTCATCATCCTGTGACATCCCTCGGAAGTATTAGGGCTTGTATTATGTACCAAGTATTAGGGCTTGGCCCATAGTGCAGTTTGCAGGGTGGTGAGCTGGACTCCACATCCCAGAACACGAGAGCTGGAAAGAGCCACACGTGGAGGACTCACCCCTTGAAACAAGGAGCCTGAGGCCCCAGAAGCGTGCTCTACAGTGCAGGGTTCAGTAGCCAAGCCAGCATCACAGCCAGCCCACTCCAGGCCTCGGGCTGCAAAGTGGCTGCTCTCCAGCAGCAAGCATGCCATCCCTGCCATCCCACCACCTGGCAGCTGTTCTGCCGCCTTCGCTGTCCTGCTGGGTGTGGAGAAGGGCCTGGCACAGAGCCGGAGGCAGGCCCTCCTGCTCCGTCCATTTCGCATGGCTGCTGGGAGGAATCACCACTCACTTCATGGCATTGACAACTTAAAATTCTGGAGGGCCGAAGCCTGAAATGAGTCTGTCTGGGCTGAAGTCACAGTGTCGGCAGGCTGCGTTCCCTCCAGGTGCTCTAGGGGAGAAACCACCTCCCCACCTTCTCCCGCTTCTAGAGAACACCTGTGTGCCTCGGCTCATGGCCCCTCCTCCATCGTTACAGCCAGAAGTTGATCATCTTCAAGTCCGTGTCTTTCCCTCTGCCCTTCATCTCTGCCTCCATATCCACATCTTCCTCTCCACCTCTGCCTCTCCTGCCTCCTTTGTTCACATATGAGCCCTGTGATGGCATCGGTCACATGCGATGACACTGGACTCACACTGGTCCAGTGATGACATTGGTTACATGTGATGACACTGGACTCACTCAGATAATCTCCCCATCTCAAGATCCTTAACCTTAATCACATCTGCGAAATCCCTTTTGCCGAGTAAAGTAACTTATCACAGGTTCCAGGGAGCAGGATACTGACATCTTTTTCACTTCTCTCACCACAACTGTCTCACCAGTTTGTTTCCCAGTGAACCCTGACTTATCTGTGCCTCGCCACCCCCCGCCCCCGGACCCGAGAAGCGGGGCTGTTGGCAGCCCAGCCGTCTTCAGGGGCGCAGTGCACACCTCAGGTTCCCGGGGGGGCCTGGGAAGCCTCAGGGGCGGGACAAACTGGGCTTCCTTGAGGAGATAAAGGATGACAGGGATGCTGGAGCAGCCAGAGCCGAGGCAGAGGGCAGGAGTGACCGTGGCTCCTTCAGTCGACCAGACGGTGTGGCCTCCTCCCCGCCTCCTTGATTAGACGCAGCCAGTCCCTTTCTCGTCCAAAGGTCTGACCTAGCCAAGATCACATGGTGCAGTCGCCCTCCCTCCTTACACCTGAGTCAGTCCTCGCTTGCCCTGGATCCGTGTAGAACAATGCTGATGACAGGAGTCACTGACACTTGGCCTGTGTTGGCAAAGCCA